GGAAGATACACTTGTCTTTGTCCCCGAGACTATTCTGGTGAGTGTGATGACATTTGAATCCCAGAGGATGTTATTCGCTTTCTCTTTCTTTAATAGGACAGAAGCGGAGGTGACGTTGCATGTCCCATCCAATTACTTAGGAACATTAATCACTAGTTAGAAAGCTTCCCACACTAGTAAAAATCCATTGAGTTCAAAGGTGCGTGGATCGTCACTGCTGTTTTGAATGGAGTCTTACCTTATGTAAAACGTAGATCCGGTCTGGAGTGAGTGGGTTTCGAGGGACCTGGCTTTCCAGGTTGGGGCTGTTCTGCAACTCATCTCAGCAGATGCCCTTCGCCTTAGCTCAAGGGCGCCCTCTCATGCCCAGAGCCTGACATTGCAGCCTGCTGGGAAGGTGGGTGTCCGTGGGGTGGATACATGGTGGGGGGTTCTAGTGCTGAAGTGTGATCGACAGATCGATGACAGCAAGGCAGATGGAGCATGGTACATGAGATAAGTCACGAGTTCATTAAGACAGAAGTCATTTCGTGTTTAAGCTCTTGGAAACAGCAAATAACAGCAGCGGGCTTTGCAAACATAGCATCTTGCAGACTCTCAAGTGGGTTACTCCAAATTAAACTTTATATGTATTTTTACTATCGGTTTAATTTGGATGAAGTTTTGCGAAAGAATTCTAGAATTAAAAAGTTTCTATTTCTTAGCAAATCGGCCACAGAAGTGCTACTCACTGTAACTGTATTCAGTTTATATGGCTACATATAGTTATAATGACATGGTGCCTAATCACATCAGTCACAAAGTGAATGCTACCATATAGACTGGACCACACAGTTCAAATACTTTTCGAAGGTCGATTCATTGTGCATATTTAATGGATATGAGCAAATGACAATAAACACCCAAATGAAACATGAAAATCGTAGTTAGTTATCCAGATGTTTTATCTACGAAGCCAAGTATCTGGAAATACAAAAACATCTGGATAACTGACTGAACTCATCACTTTTCATCCGGCTGTTTTGGCATCGTGCTCACATAGCCCGAGTCATTTTTGTCTGTATCGGCGGCAGTGGTGAGCCACCATAAGAATGTTAAATCTCACCGAGTAATACAAATAAATCACCCCCCAAAGTAGATAGCTATTTAAATTGAAATCATATCTATTGATTTGAAACACGTTCTTAAACCAGGCATCTGGATCACTTCAAAGCCAAAGCAGTTGAACTACAACATGCAGAGCCGCAGTACTTAAATAATGGTTTATAATGCATTTCTTAAACATTAGAAAGTAATCCGGCCGTATATCAGATGAATGCGAATTTTATTTTAATTAAGAAATAAACTTTAGGAAAGCGTTAAGCTTTAAACCACTGCTTTGGCTTCCTGTGTTAAAACTTTCCAGCAGCTATATAGATGACTAAAATACCAAATGACATAATGCAATGTCATATAGGCAAAGGCACCACAGAAAAGCGGATCGACAAACTGGACAGGCAAAGGCAGGAATCGCAGAGAGAGACACTGTCATTTACTAGCTACGGGGCACAGGCAAGTCTGTGTGCCTTAAATGTACTGAGAAGAACTACAGGAAGGAACATGACATCGCCTCGTCCTGGGCCTGCATATGGTGGCCGTTTGGTAAACGTGAGGAGCCCTCAGTTCAGAAGCACTATGGGGGACCCGCCCGGGGGGCACCGTGGAGAATCCGCCTTTGCCGAACTTCCCTGGGTGAGCATCGTCCACGCTTCTTAGAGTCATGGTGGACCGGAGTCACGGCAGGGGAGGCGGCTGTGTCCCTTACAAGTACGAGTCCTAACACGTTGTAGCTCTAGTTGCCATATATGTTAAAAGATACTTATACGAAAAAAAGTTTTCACCATCATTTTAGTCTTTTATACAGTCTTAGAAAAGTGAAAGAGGAAGCTATTATTGTGTTATGTTACATGGGAGAAGTAAAGGTCTTAAAACAAGGCTGAGAACACATTCCCGAGGACACGGTCTTCCACCAGCTGGCTCAGGGCGCTTTCCCTCGACCTTACCGATGCCAGACCAACAAACACGAATTCTGTTCATGGTCAGGGTAAGAAACGGCCGAGGCTCAAGGGTGAGCCATTGACCTTGGAGCAAACACTGTTCCGCCACTTCCCGTTTTTACGGATGCAAGATTTCAATGTTAAGTTCTTCTCAAAGAACGGTAACTCCTTTAACTCAGGTATTTGTAGGATCCAGTCGCAGTCGTAAATGGCAGGTGAAGTTAGAAAACTTCCGGAAGTGGTTCAGAATCCGACTCGTGACAACTTCTGGGCTCTCTGAAAATCTCTGTGTCGTTTTAGTACATAATTTATTATTCTGCGTTATAGACGCAGAAATAAAGACGGTTAAATGTAGATATTCCCTCTTTTTGCCTTTTGAAGCCTGTATGAAAATTCGATTATGTGTACTAGATGTTATTTTGGCAGATTCGGTACTGTAGTCTGTTATCTCAGTGAAACTACTTTTATAAATCGTCAACTTATTTTGCTCAGTAAATAATCTTCACCTACTGTTTTTTAAGGGAGAAAGATATACTTTCAAACAACATAACATTACCTTAAAATGAAGAAGCTTGTAATACCACTAATTGCATTAAGTTTAAGCCACAAACTAATATTCTATTTAAAAGTAGTATTGTACAACGCTACAGAAATTTGACCTTAAAAATGTCTGTACAAAAGAAGCACTTAAGGGAATAAGCGCCCACCATGTTTGTACGATAAATGTTTGTGGACATAACAAGTATTGTTTTTGATCTCTAGAAAAGACTTTGTATGGATCAGGTATTGTTGTAAGCACTCTAGAACACATTGCATTTATAATAATAATCCTATGAGGTTATTACAAATGTTGCTTCCGTTTTTCGGGTGAGGAAGCTGAGCTATGGAACGGTTAAGGAGCTTGCCCAGAGTCACAGAGTTAATGATGGATGGCTGTGCCAAGATGTCAACCCAGGCCACGTGGTTTGAAGTCTGAGCTTTTACCCACTGCTCTATATGATGTGTAGCTAAATTAAGTGTTTAAAAATAATTTCATGACACTGACTAGTCCCCATGAGGCTTCCAACAGAAGTATGGTTAACGATAACTTTGTTCTAAAAATGACTTGTTTCCATGAATTTAAAAGCCACAAGCTGTCGTATGACATAGTTCTTTGTAACAGCTGCTCCGCTGTGTGCCACTCCCCACGAGGGTGCCGAAAAATTAACATCAATTACAATTAAGGAGGAAAATTATTTTGGGTAACATAATATTCGACAAGAGTGTTAGTAAATAAAGCATTGCCAAAGAGCTAAAATATTAACACTTCGCTAAAACTTTTCTTCTGTGTTGACTTTTTGAAAAGGTGTCAACTGTGAATTGGAAGCTGACGGATGCTGGGCCCAGCCCTGCCAAAACGGTGCTACCTGTCGGGATGCCCCGGGCGCTTATTTCTGTGACTGTGCCCCTGGGTTCCTGGGTGACCACTGCGAACTCGACATCGATGAGTGTGCCAGTGAGCCGTGTCTCCACGGAGGGCTGTGTGTGGATGAAGGCAACAGGTACGTTCTGGGCGATTCGCCTACATTCGGGTGATCCCCGTGGAGAGAACTCACTGACCAGGATTATTGTATCGCCGGTGAATCTGAAGATCTCGCATCCTTCCCTTAAACTTGTCAGGTTGCTTTATAGTTTAGTGAAAAGATGAGTGTGCCAGTGAGCCGTGTCTCCACGGAGGGCTGTGTGTGGATGAAGGCAACAGGTACGTTCTGGGCGATTCGCCTACATTCGGGTGATCCCCGTGGAGAGAACTCACTGACCAGGATTATTGTATCGCCGGTGAATCTGGAGATCTCGCATCCTTTCCTTAAACTTGTCAGGTTACTTTATAGTTTAGTGAAAAGTGGCAACATTCAGATTTTACTTAAAAAAAAAAAAAATGCATCCTTCAAAAGTCATCTGTCCCAAGAGTGAGGAATTTCCAAGTTACTCTCGTAATAGTTTGGACCTGCTAAAATTTCAGGAAAGAGCCAGCTTTTCAATTCCGCGAAACAAGCCTGTGGTAGGTAAGGTGCACGCGAAAACAAAGCCCGAGGTTATTCCGATTGTGAATATGAGGCTGTATTTATGTAACGAGCATGGAAACCAAGTGGCGAAAAATAAATCCTTTAGGAATTTTACATAAACAGTGTTATTAAATTAGTTTAAAGTAAGAGAACATAAGTTACCATTTGCGTAATGAGGGCTTTTCCTGGTTTTGTCATAATTTATTATTTCATTTTTCATAAGGGACCTTATTAATGGGCTCTGCATGAAAGGGTGTCACGATGGCATAAGTCATTCTCCCTGCCTTCACGAATTTTAACACCTTTCTTTAGTATTATGTGGTACTAATGTAGTCAGTATTTTTGATGCTTGACATACTGTGTCTATTCTTTATCTGAGTATTTAATTACCACAATAACCCCGTGACATAGGAACTGTTATTTTCAATTTATGGATGAGGAAGCTGAAGTAAACAATCACAATTGCCAAATAATTTTGCAGAAAAACGAAAACACTCAAGCTGCGTTTTGAAAGACCATAGGACGTTAACATGGAAACACATGATGCTTTCAGGCTTATAGAAACAATTCCCCAGGGTTTTTGAGATAAATACTGAAAATGCACCGCAAGTCTCAGATTGATGGACCGGTAAAGATAGAGAATAAAGATATTTGATCTCAATACGACCAGGAGTTGATGTGATAATTTCATTTTACTCTCCAGATACAGCTGTCACTGCACGGGTAGTGGATTTACAGGGACACACTGCGAGACCTTGTTGCCTCTATGTTGGTCAAAACCCTGTCACAATAATGCTACGTGTGAGGACAGCGCTGGCAATTACACGTGTCACTGCCGGCCTGGTAAGCGACAAAATATCTTTCACTTTTCTTTTCTTTTTTCTTTTTGTGCTTAGAGTAGAAACAAATCACTTACAGCAACTAGAAACTAGAAATTCTTATTGTTTGCTGTTTGAAACAAACTCTTCTAGTTACGAATGCTTAATTTAATTGCATTATTCCATACTCACATATACCTGCTGCTACGCTACGCACTGTTCGAAGTAGGTTGGCACGCTGCCCGAGCCTCAGAACCTTCCAAAAGAAACAGAAGGGGAAAAAAAAAAAAAATCAGTGGAAGGATCAATTTCAGCATGATCTGCACGGTGAAAATTCACCAGAAGATGTTTTCTTTCCCTCCAAGATATTTTCTTTGACACCTAGAATCTATCGAAACCACTGAAACAATATTCACATCTTAGGAGCTTGGATTAGAACTCAGTGGAGTTAGCATGATTACAACGGTGTAGAATATTCCAGAAATAGAAGTATTCTCCTAAGCATTTATAATACAAGTCAACAAGAATACAAAGGAAACATATATAAACCGTAACCAAAAATTTTGCATAAAGGGTGATGAGGCTCCAGCAAAGGGATGTGTTACTAGAATCAGGAGGAATCCGTAGCACCTTAGTCCGCACGCTACCTGTAAATATTGGTGTTAATTTTGGCAAACAGCCCGCTCGACCTATTTTTAACCTAATTCACCTGAGGATTTCATTGATAGAAAGAGCATTTCATCTCCTTTCTTGGTCCACTGGGGGGAAAAAAAAATGACAAACTTACAGTTCTGTAAAACCCGGTCGTCACAGGCCTGCTGACCGGCTCGTCCCTCTCCTGGTTCATTTTGTTGTCCAAGGACAGAGCTTGGTTGGGGAGGAAACGTGGAGATTGGGATCAATCCAGCCAGCGGTGGCTTCTCACCGAGAGACGTCTCCTTGCCTAAGGGTATTGAACAGGCTTCGGTTAACATATTTCGTAGGTAAAAGTAACACACAAGCATGAAAGCAGAAAAGGAGGTTGGGAAGTATATCTTTGGCTCAGAATTCTACGTCCTGCATCTTCCTCTTTTCGATAGTGCATAGGGCGGATTTGTTATCCTTCGGTCCCTGGCTTAACTTAAAATTTTCCAAACCGTGTTGTCCTGCATTCTTATCATCAGCCAACGCTTTGGACAGGACACCCGCTAACTAGGGCGGGCCACCTCTGCGTTCTTAAGTTCCTCATCTGCAAACGAGGGGGAAAAAAAGACTATTCCGAGTATTGTTGCAGAGAGGAAAAGCATAAAAATAGAGCCTGGCACATCTCAGGTCCTGAACAAAAGGCAACTGTTACTACATAGGACGTTCTACACCAAGAGCTGGGAATTGGGTATGAGGGACGGTTTGTATTGGACCCAGGTAGTGAAGAAGATCTGCCCCCCAAAAAGACAGTGCGTTCCATTCACTCGTGGGTTCGGTCGTGCAAGCCACATGGGTTTCGGTGCCAGCCGTATCTATCAGGGGCCTGGGACTCAGAAAGACGTAGTCCCTTCTTCCAAGGAGCTTAAGTTCTAATAGGAAGAAGCGTGAAAATGTGCGTAGTACGATCAAAAACTGTAGTGAACTCTATAGAAGGGAACAGGGGAGAGGGAATACACGGATGGCTTGACTGAGGCATCATTTTTGAAACTTTGACAGATTGCTAACCACATCCCAGAAATGTACTCAGCAGCTGTGTGACTTGGCACAAGTTACTTTACCGCTCCGAGCCTCAGTTTCCCCATCTATAAAGCACAGGCGATGATAATAACATCCGCCTCATCGAGTTGTTTTGGGGCTAAATCCAGTAATAGAGATGAAGCTTCTAGCTCGGCCTGGACCACAGCGAACACTCAGTAGATGTTGACCAGATGCTCAACTAGAGACTGGCCATTCTGGACCCTGCGGCGAACACAGAGTAGCTCGTCGCCTATTTAGGGAAGGATGAGAGGAAGCAGGAGGAAGAGGAAGAAAAGGCATCAGGCACACGTGGCATCGAGCGCGTCCAGCTGTGGCCCTGTGAGCGACGGGTCCCGCGAGCTGGACCACACGCGGCCGGTGGGGTGGACGGGGCTGCGGGGCAGACGAGAGCAAAGCCGGCTCGCTCGCGATGCTGCCGTCCGCCCCGCCAGCCACGGGGCAGCCAAGCGATGTCATCTGACCTGTTCATGTCAGACAAGCTCGGGCACTTTGGTGGAAGCTGAGTGAGGACAGTAAACCCAGAGACAGGAATGTAGAGATCGCGTTCCCGCTCGTTTAAGGGAGGGAGAAGCTCGTTTGCCAGAACCGAGGTGACAGTGGTGAGGGCCTGGGGGGCGGGGGGGGGGGCGTCGTGACTGTCGTTTAGGGGGTGATCGCGACGTGCGGGTTAAGGGAGGGGCACAGACTCAGGACACTTCCGCTGCTGACCTTCTTTCTTGCGTCTCTGGACGGATGGCGATTTTGCCTACACAGAAAATTCAGAAAGTCTTCGTACCCTGTTCTCACTGCGACGTATAACGAGAAGATTTCATGCCACAAGCGACTCTGTCTAGAAGATCGTACCTGTGGGTGAGGAGAGACCACTGCCACCGAACGCAGTGGCAGGAATCCACTGTGACAGCTGTGCAGGGCCCTCATTTCTAAAGTGATTAATTACAAGAAGTGTCAGTCGCCTTAAACGCTTACCTTAAAAGTTTTCCTGGTCCCCAGGTAAGATTGGATTTAAAAAGATCCCTGGGAACTTGATTCAGTATCATATTGTTTCTTCGTACGGTATTTTACAGGAAAACTTGTTAAAACTATTGACGCTAGCCTCGACGAAAAGAGTCTATTTATATAACTGTTAAAGGGAACAGCAAACAAAATCCCCACAGGGTCCCCGTGGTGGGGACAGGACTGGCAAGGCCATAAATCAGAGCCTCCCCAGTGCTCGTGGGAGGAGTGACATAATGCAGGAACCAGAAAGCAAAAATGGATTTATGAAGGGTCTTGAGTCTCGAGACAGAGAATGAGAAGAAAATAAAAAATACTCAGAGTTCTCTTCCGCAGCTCTCTGTAAAGACTTGTGGACACCATTATTCGGTGAGCATTTGTATTCCGTTAAGTACAAAATAAAAGTATTTTAAAAATAGGCATTCGGGTTTAAGAGACTGAGGGTTCCTGGCGACAGGGTCACCGCAAAGAATTGTGGGATCTCGGTCTCCCACATGCTTTGCGTTTCCTTCTTCGACTGTAAATTTCTTCTTCAGATGGTTGAGAAAGACGCCAAGGGCGAGATGCGACAAATGTATTATTATCCTGGTGAGCAACAGGACTTTTGTTGTGGGTATAAATTAACATGGGACCCCATTCGGATTTTTATTAAAGTTAAATGTCATGTCATATATCATGTCATATTTTCATTATTGACTTATTCGTCGTTAATTCTCTAGCCGATTTGCTCGGCTAGGATCGTAATCTCAATGGCCGATTCATACAACCTGAATCTCCTTTGGTCATTGATAGAAGGTCGTCTCCTTACGTGTGCTCAGGATCTAAGTGGTGAGCTAACAAAAAGTCCCCGATTTTGTGGAGCTTGTAGTCTATCGAGAGAGGCAACTCTACATAAGCGTAAACACATAGTAAAACTTATCATAAGCACAACGAAAGGAAAGAATTGGATAATACGAGGGAGAAGAAGAGCATCTCCTTTGGGGCTGGCCACCGGGGAAGGTCGTTCTGAGAAAGTCGTAAAAGATGAAGTCTGAAAAGCAAGAATTAGCCAAGCACAGGGCAGGGGGCGACTGTCCTAGGGGTGGGGACAGTGTTATCAAGGGCTCTGGAAGAGAAGACATTCCAGGACAGGCAGAGATGGGGTGGGCCCGCTCAGAAGGGGCATTTTAGGTTAAGGAGTTTGAATTTGATTGTGTGAAAAAGCAAGCCACAGAAGGATTTTAAAGCGAGAAGT